TCAGACAGTCACTTGGTTGTTTTGACATCAATAAACCGGTCGTGTCCGCTCTCGCCTCTTCTCCACTCTACTCGAGTTGTCTTGGGCTGTTAATTAGAGGGTTGTAAGGTAGTGCTAAGATCAAGCTACTACAAAACCATGTATGCCAGGGGCCTTGTCAACCAGACCAACCCCTCAATAGATTCTCCGTATACAGGCATGCTTTTTCCTTGCAAGAAAGTTACTTGCAACTCACTGCCTCAAATGACTTTCAGTCTGGGATTCTAAGGCTTAAAAAATCATAGTTTTGCAGTTCTCCTTTGCCTAAAGACAGTTAAATTAGTCTAGTTATCATAATTCCTGCCTGCCCTCTTGTGATTCAACAGGCTTCTGTGGACAAAGCGGCCTCTTCACTCACTCATGTCACCAATGCAACATTGCTGGGGCCTGGATATGATATGGAAACAATGAGCACTAGACGAGGCATCAGGTGGCCCAACCAAAGCGTCGGTGTGCAAGTACGTGCCTACTAATAAGTCGCTGATGCATACAAAGTGGACGCCAATAACTGTCGGTGGTCATAATCAAACGAGATTGTGTAACAAAGGCGATGCTTATTATGCGGCAGATTAATTAGCAGGCGGCAGAGAGCCCAGGGCGATCGATAAACCGCGACGTGTGCAGGCAGGTGGCAGACGCGACTTAACCCACACTTCACGTCGTGTCGTCGTTGCTGTGACATTTATGAGCACGATCAATCAACAATTAGTCGTTTCACAGAGCAGATGATTTTGAATCTATTGCGACATATATCGTCATGTTTAAATTGACATCAGGTTTTGTCATGTGCCCTGTCAGCTTACCCCACGAGCTCTACGCTTTGTCCTACAATGTTTCAATGATCGCAAATCTGTCTGGTGAATCCCAGTACCTTTTTTCTACTTTTTTATAATTCCAATGTTTTAGCACTTAGGTCTAAAAGGCCTTTAGATCCGAAAATTTAGGATTCCCTTTTGTGTACTCGATTACTAGTTGAAATTAGGTTAAAAACGCTTCATTCGGCTGACCTGGTAAATACTCTGGAGATGTAGTGGTTCAGCGAAATAGGGCACTTACTGAAAGTAATCCAGAATATGTCCATCGCGGTTTCAATTTAAATCTAAAGAAAACAGCATTTGGAGGCAGCTGATATTTCTTCGTGTTCTATTATGCGCAATGTTGCCATTTGGTTAACTTTTACGACCACCGAAAATTCACGAGCCATTTCTTTGTGGCTCTGTACCAATCGACTTGTTCACTCGTAATTTTCAACTCAGAGCTGAAGAGTTACAAATTTTTCATCGGCAATCCAGCATGTTTTTTATAAAAGCGTGCGACTGACATTAAAATAACTTTTTCACAGTTTCCTGATTTGAAATTAGGTGGCCGTTACATGATGAACCCTAATCATGGCAGAAACTAAGAAAATTTAAGTGATGATGAGAAACGCCTCGAAGCCTATGACTTTACCAGATATTTTTGAAAAATCCGTCCTAGTTATTTAACTGCTTACTTGCAGCTCAAAGTGCTACATAATTCAGTGATGCCCTGAAGTGTAGACTCATTCACATCTTGGAGCCTCATACGTATCATTTTCAATACACTAACTACTTTTGGTAATTCAGTAAAAGTAATTATTAAAACGGGGATCTTTTGTGATGGTTTCAATAGACATAAAAACCAAGATATTTATCGGTTTGATCTGTTGCCTATAAAATAACCTGATAGCAACTGAATTCACAAAGCACACACACTTTTTATCCCCTTTTAGCCTCTATCAGCTGAGTAAATTGTCTCTTGACTTTGTCGATAGATATCATCCAGTATTGCAGTTTATTGAGCATGCAAATATTCCCATATTTCACGGAACGCTTCACTGATTATATGCCTGTTAATTTAATTAGAAGTGCGTTCAGCCTTCTACACTTCGCCTTAAATAGCCATAACAATTATGCCTACACTGACTAGATGCTGGTATATTTTTAATTATTTACATACTAGTTAATGTCTAATTGCACTGGTTGGTCGTCATAAGTGTGGCGGAGGCTGTGCCCATATAAGGAGGCAGACATAATTGGAATTGAATGGGTGCAACTAACCGCGTGACGACTTGTGAATAAAATCTTGAGTGGATGTGCTCAGAAGCTACAGCCAATCAAATTTGTCAGTCCACTATCAAGTAAAAAATTATCGATTAATACGACTAGTGAATATAATATGGAGTGGATGTGCTCAGAAGCCACAGCCAATCGGATTTTTCAGTCCACCATCATGTAAAAAATTATCGATTAATACGACAGGCGTTTAGCCAGTGCGACCTGAATCACAGGTGACTGATCATGGCAGACGTTTCGTTAAATGGTACCCGTTGGTGTGCGTTTACGTGTTGTTTACGCCGACCATGAAACCGCTGTACACCATTTTACTGTTTAAATCCGTGAGACTGGTGGCTTGCCACACGTGTGTGCTGATTTCGTATTTCGATTCAAGTGAGACTTCAGTGCTTCTGGTTTATTAACTGAAATGTGCTAATTACCAACTCTGCGGGTTTCTTGAGTCTCTGAAACACGAGCTCCCTGAAGCAAGTCAAAAGGGTGTCCTCTATTTATGCACATAATTTGGGCTGTTTCATTTTATTTGGCTTGTGCAAACGCTCAGGTTGAAAACGTTTTTTCACCTCTAAGTTGGGATTAGTTTCCTCGTAAAAGTAGCCAGGTGAATCGTTGGATATTGATCGAAGATCGTCTTTAATACGGCAAATGTAGCACTCACCGTTGCGTCCTACTACCTGCACAAATACAAAAGTGTAATAAACGCAGAATTTTAACTTCAGTTACGAAAGGTGTAAACAGTACCTAGTCCACAACATAAAAAAATGATCTCCAACCGAGAAATTGTTTCCAACGTGAAATACCCTATAAACAGAGGTCTCAGGACTTGATTATTCACAGTTGTAGGCAGTTTCTGGGGCGTTTCAATCAGCACGGGACTCGCCTTGCACAACTCGCACACACTCGGAAACCAATTGAACTAATTTTGGAAATTTAGTGGCTTTCAAGGGACAGGATCAAGCGATACCCGCATGTCTCTCAGTGTAGTGCCATGGTAATTGTATTTGGGGATTCCGGAGAACTTTATCCGCTTTTTAATTAGGTGCCTTCGATTTATAATATGCATTTTTTTTGAAACTGGCTAATCGGCACAGTGCATTTTCGATGTTTTAATGTATTTTTACTGCTAGTTCGTTGAAAAGGAATTAATAGCTACTTGCCTGATTACCCTATATGGCATTTCAACCTACTCGTTGATGTGTCCCGCCATTACTTTGCTTAATAGCATTGTGAATCGTGTTTATTCACACCCCTTAATCCGGCCGCTCCACTTCCGACACAGGGTTCCCCTTTTCGGAGCATGTCGCCAGCAGCGCGGATCCTCAACTCCCCCCCTCGTTAGCTCGGATATTTATCTTGGATTATCCTCACATCTAGGTCTCGATGTTAGCGCATATATGACTCACACATCCGAGGTATAAATACACACGCTCAAACCCCATACACGACACAACGACACCAATGTGATGGAGCGCTGAAGTAAACGGTTGTGTCCACGTCCTCTCCCGCCTTTTCTTCATCGCGGGTATCAGGGAAACGTAATCGGGCCAGGGTTAATTCCGTGGCCCCTGCGTGGTTCAAGATCACATGCTGGGACCCACAACAATAGATTCTAATTTTATCATCAGTACTAAGACACTTGACGCATAATCCGATTATGAAAAGTCTAAACTTAGTGAATTACACCTTTATATTAATTTGGTGTGGTAGTTATCGAATTTCTCCACCTGCCCCACGTACTTCCAAATCGTAATGGCGCTAATATTTGGAGCCCTGCCGTCGCTGAAAATCGTTTTCATTTACAGAAGGTGTAAATTTGTCATCTTATTTCCGTATAACTCTTTGTTTTACCATGCTGTTCAGTTCGCTCCTCATCAAATAATACGTGAACATCAGTACGTTCCGGATCTCCCTTTTTGTTCGTTTCCGGCATGTCTGTCTCACTCACAGGTGGATCCGACATTTTCCTCTCTCCATTTTCGAGAAGAACAGTTCCATTGCGGTTTCGCCTTCATTAGCACCACAGACGTTCGTGGGGGCATGGAGGTTATTCTTAGGTGTTAGATTGTGCTGCGTTTGACTACTGATCATGGCCCAAACACACGACCTGAGTAAAAGCCTCAACTAGAGCTGCTAAGACGGCCTCATGTAGAGACATTTTGCCTTCGTAGCAGAGAGGACGGGAATTGAGAGTTATGGGCGACTTTGGCAGCCAGCAGAATGGGTGAGCCAGCGAAGTGAATGTGAAGCCAATCAGGGTTCACGTCAAGTGGTGCACACGATGAATTTGGGGATTTGAAAAATTCAACATGAGACGACGACCTCTCAAGCATTATTCTAGTGGTGTTTTCGAAGCCTCAAAAGTAATTTTGGCATGAAGACTCGAACTAAGGCTCAACCCCCCCCCACCTCATAAAATTTGTAGTAAGACGTTAGCCCCAATTACCAAGAATACCATTGTTTGAATTAAAGTTAACATGTGTCGGAGGCTGTTAGCGTTCTCCCAGTTGACATTATTCACGTCTACACCCCCCAATAGGGAAGCAGAAACTGACTTCAGCCCTACGGGGATAAAACTAATCCATAAAATAAGTTCGTTGTTTACATATATATCTATATTTAAGAGTTAAGTACCGGAAGTATGAACGAAAGAAGATAGTGAGTAAAAAAGGCAAGAAGTGGAATGCTTAGTAGGAGAGACATGGAGAGTTCGGTCACAAAGTGCGGGGGGGCGACTTAGATGCGTTCGAAAGTGCTAGACCTGGTGGCCTCACTTTCGCTGTCGTCGCTTTCGTCGTCCCCGTGACCCTCCAAATGCAGGACCCGCGCCTCGAGGGACTTGACCCGGTCCACGAGTTTGTCGATCACCTGACTCAGCTGCTCGATGGTGGCGGCGCATTCAAGGTGGGCGCTGTGGGAGGTGCGGGTGTCCGTCACCGGCGGAGCGCGCGCCTTCGCCTCCGTCGGTGCGTCCACGTGCGACTAAAACGGGCGCGGCAATGAGGTTAGAGGGGCACCAGTGACGCGTTAAGCGTCACTCAACTTGTCTTCAAGAAGTTAAAAACTTGAGAACTCATGTAAAAAGGCCTCCCTAGTGTGGTGACGATTGGATTAACACGGATGCAAATTACATCACTGAGCGGACCATGCTCAAGATTAGCAAGTCTGCTGGGGTTCCAATTTAGAGGACGAAGTAGCCATTAAAAAGAATGACACCTGTGGCTAGGGATATAAATCGTCTGATTGGAATGTATTAATATCGTCAACAAATAAGCAACTGACCATGGGCCTGGAAGTTGGCTGTGATTGGATTATGAAGCTCGAATTCTGAACGTTGCTGGCCTCCTTGACAGATACCTAGAAGGTAAAGGAATACGCTGAGAGGAAACCACATCGGCACATTGATGGGGGTGGTTGTTGAGTCTAGAACACACGTAATACCATAATTATCGCATTATGGATTATCCGAGTTTTGGCACGTGTAATTGACAAGTTAATTGAATTCAACCCCGCATAGCAGAAAAATAGGTAGGAAAGTGCACACAAGCGACAACGAAAAAGACCGCGGCCTCTTCAAATTCTTCTAACATAAGGATCTACACCGACCTGTGTCGACGCGAAACCAAAACGTTAAAACCAGCAGAACACACACACACACACGTACGCACTGCACACGCAAAATAAGCACACTTAATATCCAAACGCCATTTCCTTCAACAACGACTGCTAAGGAGCTACAAGATCTGGAATTTGAGCTGACACCGACTAGGCGCATACTTCATGACTCAATAAGACCGGTTAGAGGCAAATTCTATAAAAAAAAATAACCACCCTGACGGTGAAAGTTTACATAATAACGCAGATGTCGAAGCGTTTTACAAGAACAACGATCCATCGGCTCTGATAATCGGGCTGCCTAAACACTGGAATAAGTATAGCCACCGAGTTCGCTCATAAAGCTAAGAGCGCTCCCGCCTCTAACCACGTATCAAAACGGGAACGCAATGATGTTTGATTGTGGATAATATAATGACCGGACCTCTGGCAGATTGCACCGACACAAACTGACGCTTACGAAGCACTCTTGTTGAAATCACTGGGGACAAAGGTGACGGTCATGTGTTTTTTGTCATACTAAGAGAAGGACGCGTTAATTAGGTCATGAGGAATTTCGCTGAAGGAACCAGTCCAAATCACGTGGTTTTAGGCCATAGTTTCATACTGAATGAAGAAAAGTTTGAAACTAAGCTAACAGCTTATTACCACGTTCCCACGAGTATTCTTTGCAAAGATAACAGGTCCCAAAGGTGTACCTTAACAAGAACGGATTCTCAATTTGTATTGCTGGAAGTAAAACGTCTCGACGCAACTAACCGCAACTTTATCGAAACCCCTGATATATCTTCTTTTCACAAGGCTAGCTCAGAACGGAGTTAGTACCATGACTAACAAGTGTTATCTAAGAATTTACCTTGGCGGCAAAGTGCTAATACGGTCAGTTTGATTTGTGAAGATCAGCAAGGTTCTGTGATCGCAAACTACCTCACACTAGAAATACCGAGTATTCAACAGTAACAGAGGTACTTTTGAGTCCAGGAACTGGAATGAGTGAGGACGTAGGTTCTTCATTTCAAAGGCCTACTGTCATTCACAGATCACACATCGCTTTTGAAAAGTGACAGAGATGGCCTACCTTGATGGGATCAGCATCATTGCCGTTGAACCAGTCTTCGGCAGAGAGGGCAGCGACGGGGGCGACGGTGTCCGGGTAGAGGTCCTCCTGGAAGAGGCCAGACTTACGCGGCACAGTAAAAGGAATGACCTCGCACCAGTTCTTGTTGTGCAGCTTGTACATACGCGCAATCTCACAGGCGCTCACGTTCAAGCCCAGCTTCGGCATGAAGGCGAACCCACGCTGGGGATCGGTGCTGTCGTAGCGGCTCAGGTAGTAAACTTGTTTTTCATCTGGACAATACTCAAAGTAACGCACTGTGCTGTCCCCCTACAATGACGAAACTAAGTCAGCATATGTTTGTGTGAATTGGCTACGAAGCATGACGAGAGGATGATCCAGAGACTTAAAGAAACCAGATAGCTGGCAACCAGTAGGAGACTTTCAGGATGGGCTTAAAAGAGCCACAGTAGTACCGTGTGCTAACCCTGTTTAGGAAGCAAAGCCAATGGAATAATAGAGAACGGAACATGGGATGTACAGCCACTTAGAGCCTTGTCAGCTACACACCCCCAAAGGAAACCCCGTGCCTAGGAGCGGCGCAAGCGGTTCAAGCATGGTGTTTCAAATGTAGGACCTGGTGCCTTCATTCACACGGACTCCTTTCTCCCTTACGGTTTTCTGCTACAATTTCGGCCCAAATGATGTTTTTTTTGCACCGAGAATGTCAAAAGCAAAAGGATTTCTCAGAAGCTATGAAGAGCATGTATTCCTACACCTTTACTGTAAATAGAATAAGACAAATTTTGTCAATGAGCCCTCAGATCACTTCCTCGCGAGATGTGACAAAAATATTATCAGAAATACCCGTTCAAACATGTGCAGAGCGTGACTACCTAGACCTACAGCATTCTTACAAATTCTGGAATTAGGGTTGTGAAATCAAGACATACACCCACAAACTCAAGTGGGTGATCAAGGGCTTGGCTGCACATGCACACACACACTGAGTACTTTCTACCAGCGCGCACACTGAGCTAGATTTTTCAATCTGATCAATAGCCTTCAATTAACGCGCGGTAGACAGCATCCCCCTTAGAGCTTTACAGAGCGCGTTTATGCTGTAGTGCACAGATCTTAACATTGATAGATTGACTTCGGTAACCACATGTTTTTCATAGGGCAACGTTCACTTCGTGAATAACCGAAACGCTGATCAGGACCTGCTGCTGATCGGTTGGTTGGTTGCTGGTTGGTCGGTTGCACTAACATCAAAAAACCTCAGTCAGATTTCTGCTGCAGGCAGATATGCGTAAATGTAGATGCATTAAAAGCATTACTAATTACTTGTTGACAAATGAAGTGATTTGAAGGGTTAGTGATCGTACAGCAATCAAAGCAAAACACAAATAAGCAGCTAGACATAACGTTTGGCAAGAAAGCATGTGATCTAGCATGCTGAGTTCATTTTTCATTTTGTTCAGTAAAAATCAACTGAATTTGTACACCAATGGGGATATGTTTGAGAGTTTGTTTTTACAATAGAAAACGGGAGAGGATTTTATACACCTCACAGAGCTGGAATTGCCATTATTTAGAGAAACAACGAAATTGTCCTCCTAAGCCTTTACATTATAGTTCCATGTATTTTGTAAGGCCACATTGTTAACTTCTGTCCGAAATTTGCCCACAACCAACTAAATCATACGGTCACTGGCCTTTGTTTGTTCACAGCGCCCAAACAAACGGCTATGTTCCAGATACCATGAGCTTAACCTTAACAGATTACTGGTGTGATTAACCAATGTCAAAGCTCAACCTGTAGTTTGAACTTTCCGATCGAAAATTCTGCCATCGAACAATTGCTACACTTCCAGAAGACGCATTGGAGCTGCCTTCGCTCCTAATTGGTAAAAATATCTGGTGCAGTTTCACTTGTGGATCACACTTAATCCAAAAGACCACTAAGGCCGACAGGTGAAACCGAAACGCATCACGTTGATCTACTGTGCGGTTGAAGTTGGAATCTGTTAAGAGTAATGCTCATTTGCAAAACGATTAGACTACAAGGAAGGAAATTTACTTGACAACGCAGCATCGCCCTTACCTTGCCACAAACGAAGATAAGATTTGTGTCGATGTCGTAAAAGGGAAAGAGGACACCATTTGTGATGTCCAGCTCCTGTCGCCAGAGGCATTCACTTAAATTATCAGAATCCCAAAGGGCCAGTTGGCGTTCGCTCATCTTCGAAAAACCCGTAGTAAAGAGACGATCTTTGCCCAAAAAGACACACATTTGTGGCTTTTTACCCTCATGACAAGTGCCAGTCTAAATAAAAAATAGACGAAACTGTTTAAGCAACGTGTACTTGATAAGCGAATCTTCCATCAGCGTTTTGATGCCCCATAAAATCATAAAAGGCAACCGATTAGCCGAGTTGTCGGGAGCTCTCTAAACTTAACATGCTTTCGTGAAAAACAGAAACCTTGTTATAACGTGGTTAGAGTTGTGGTGAAAAAGACAAAAATCGAAACACACTTTTGTTAGACTGACTGTGCAGCTAGAAAAAGAACACCACCAGACACGGGTTTTTCTCTGACCAATTAAAGGTCCTTTTATAGAGCTTAAACGGAATGGTTCGGTGAATTTTACAGACGAAAATCCTTGGTTAACATGTCTCAAAGATAACCTTTTAAAAGCGCCCTCTTATTTACAAGTTGAGTGCTTACTAACATTCATTAACGTCGCCACGCTACCAATGGCGTAAACGAATTTTTAATGTCTTGACACGAGTAAAGTCGACGCAAGAATATTCATGTGATTCGCACAACCTCCTTAAACAAAGACAGAAGACTGAGTCACGCCACTGAATGCTTGATTTCGACGGGTGGTGACGGTTTACTCATTACGCGCCACTTTAGGGGTGTAGGTTTATGCACTACGTCACTGAAGCGTTAATGTATGCAAAAAATACAAGTTATCCGGGATCGGATGTGCAATCCCACCAATTCGTTCTCGCTTAAGGTGTACAATTTTTGCAAGATTTCTTAACTTAATGACCAGCTACATTGAAAACAAATCACACAAGACAAGCATGCCGGTTATCTACTAAATCTATCGAGTTTTATCAGTAGAGCGACACTTCCAATTTATGCCTTTATACCAATCGCTATCATTTGACTTGACTACAGTATTTTGGTCATTTCCCATTGTCGACAATTTTGTGGTTTCAAGCTACAAAGGTGGTCGGACTGCCTTGTACCTACGGAGATGAATTCTATAATGCTTCCTTTTGGAATACATCCCTAACGACGGCACAGAGTGCTTTGGTAAGTCACATTCAAATGCAAGTGATCTTAGAAATGTACTGAATAGTAACAGCGTCCTGTTGAATTAATAAAAGCCGGCGAACCATAAATGGGGCTAGGTACTCTTTATGATTTCGCTTCAGTAGATGCTCTACCTGGTGTGTTCTCCATCCTGAAGACTTAATTCCATGGATATATAGGAAATTCAACTACTACATCACAAATTGGTCTGGGTTTTGATACTGTGAAAGAGGTCCTAAGAAAATATAAAAAACACCATCCTAGATAAAAAAATTTGCAGTGAATTGAAAAAGCAAATAGCAAATAAACTTTGCAACTTACATGAATTACATCTCCGGTTCTCGGATTAAGTATGCGTGTTTTTCCATCCTTACAGCAAGCCGCCAACTTGGAACCGTTGTAATTAAAACTAAGGCAGGTGACGGAATTCGGAAGCTCGACAGACATGAGTGTAGATTGGGTCATTGTATTCCACAGGATAATAACATTATCAGCGCCTAGAAATCCATAGCAGAATAGCGTAGATATTTATTTTGCTACAGTAAAGTCAGTAGCCCAGTGGTAGTTTAAAACACACAAAATTCCAACTGGAGTTATTTAGGAGGAAATACTTTTGGCCATGTTTTCGATTAATCCCAACTTACACTGTGGCTTATTCATTAAAAAAAATAATTAGTGCATGACGACCTGAACACTGAACTATTTAGCCTGAGCCAAGCCGTTGGTAACACAGATATCAAGTACGATGCGACAGCGCATGCAATGACAGTACTGCTGAAAAGCGAGCTGAAAAACAATGATTTTACTTGCCTGCAGAGGCGAGTACACCCTGAGCCGTAGGGTGCCACATAACAAGATTTACACGACGTTGATGCCCGATTAATGTTGCAATGGAATCGGTCAAAGGTCCCTCACCGATTCCACCGTCAGGTATTTGCCAAATCTTAATGGTACAGTCTTCTGAACCACTAGCAATAATATCATTATTGTGTGGGCACCACTGGATATCAATCACAGCAGCAGTATGGCCGGCGACCATCGGCAAAGTATTCGGCATTCGGCCGACCTAAAATGCAATAAAATTACAAGGAACGATTATCGGGGCTTGTGATTTATTAATGAGTTTCACATTCGTCACGCAAGCGTTTTGACGCTACAAGTCAAACCCCAGTATAATTAGGATCAGTACGGCAAGGGGCCTGATGATATGAATATATTGAGCGTGTGAAAATATGACATAATGATAAAAATTAACTAAAAGATAATTTATACAAACCTTTTCAATGGGAATAACAGTAAATCCACCACCGCCACTGGACTCTGTAATAATTGCGAGATATTTGGGGTTAACAGCACAAAAGTTAGTATCATGGGTGCTTCTAGTGATTGGTATGCATTCATAACATTCTGCTCGCTTTAGTGGTCTACCAAGAACATGTTTAAATTTGCTTTGTCTAATTCCTGCCATATTTCACGGGAAACGGGAACGAGAAAAGACCAGCACACAGCAGTTCACTGCTCTGCACATTCAATTCCGCGTCATCACCTTTAAACAAATCGCAAGGACAGAGAATAGCAAAACTTTTGGCATGTCCCATTAACGTTAGCATTAGCTTAGCTACTAGAGGCTGTCTGATAATTTGCTGGCCTACTTACATTATGTTGCCGAAAGTGAAATAAGAATCTGGCCCAGGCATTTCTGATGTCAAAAATCCAGGTAATAGCAAAAATAAGTTATTTTATATTACAAGTTTATCATGTTTAGCAGAAAAGCTAGCAACAAAAGTATTAAGTGTGCAAAAATGAATACGTAAGTTAGAAACAGGGAGGACTTTATTATAGGAATAATTGACGCCTCTAAACGCAACATCTGGGCTCATATCCATCAGTAATCCTATTATATCCAAATCGGCATTCGTATCAGATACCCAAAAGCTCTGGTAACTACAAAAATCCCTTCGAATATACAATTCCCAGTTAGTATTTAATATATTTTCAAATTTCAGGCGCTACCGAAGTTAACACGTAGATGCATTCATCTTAATAACCTTCAATTAATTTTCTTGAAACCAATGTTATGTCCTCTGCTATGTCCCTGCATTTAAATATTTTTACCTGTTATTAATGCTTTCTAAAAGGCGCTGTCCTCACGTGCAATCTACACTGTAATATAATTTTGGGTTAAAATTCCGTGAACAGTCGTGTTCTAGAATTGAAACAAAATTAATTTGCACGTAGCCGCCATCGATTAACAGTGCCGGTTTCATGTTGCCTTTGAGTATTCGTCACACACTCTCTTTCATAAAAACTAGTAGACTTTGTGATGCTTTTATTCTCTTCTACAGGATTAACCCGAAAACCTATTGTGATTGCATTGACAAAGTATGATTATGTTCCCGGATATGAAGTCAAAATTCTACACTAATAAATATGTTTCTCACTGTGCTTACATATATCTGCAATATTCGTTCCTGAATATTTGGTACCTTGGCTCACCTATCGCTAAAAGAGTAAGTGTTTGGGGATATACCACGACAACAGTGATGTAATAATCCTCAATAATGCAATTTAAATTTTGATCTAGATGCAGGAGACACATTATAACTTGCTTCCCTTTACCACCTATTTCAGATAATTCCCGCAACAACTGGCTTAGAGGCCAATTAAATCGTAGTCACTAAATTTATTATCACCACAAAATGGAAGGTATTCACCAATGTGTCACATCCAAATGTCTTTTGTTTTGGTTTTTATGTAAACTATTGAATCGAGAAACTAAGATTTTATCTAGATTTTTGGCTTCTGCAAAATTAGGTTCTTATATCTAGTAATAATTCACCCCATTACCTGTAAACACTGATCTACAAAATCTCGACTGGTCGTACTAGCCATACAGGGAACGTGATATTGCAAATGGTCTGATAATTTTTACCATGGAACGGGAGTCCGGGAGACACTTCCAGCTTCCAGCATAGTCAAGTGATGCGGTTGCGCCACTAACGATAAAAAGGACATAAGGCTTGACGGTAATATTTTTTAAACGAAATCACACATCAACTTGCACTTACCCTAAACTTCCTGCTTTCCAATGACCTTGGTAGCACTGTTATTATTAAGTACAATATTTTGTGTAGTCAATTTACAATTATTACACATTTATTTTTCCCTTAGTTATTCATTTGATTCAAGAGCTATCACTAAGCCTTTTTTGCCTCATCAAGTCTATTCATGTCAACGAAGCATCAAGAAGGGAAACTGAGCAGAAATCATTGCAATCTAACCGAACTTCCTCCTCGTAAAATGATCCACGACAAATTTTGAAATTTATATTAGTATTTTCCCCTTTCCTAGAAAACAAATTCCACCATTTCATAAAATTATTGGGACTAAAACTTCATATTGTGGTCATTAAGTAAGTTTGTCTACGAGAAGCCTCGCTCACGCAGTGAGATGCAGCAAAGCTGTTAATTTGCAATCTGTGTGTGTCGGTGACATCGGACGAACACAAATGCTTGTTCGTCTGCTAGGTTGGATGTGGCATGCTAAGTTTGTGCTAGATTGTGAGTGTTTCTAGGTTGTAGGCATTAACAACAGGAGTCAGCCCCAATTAGATTTTAACCCAAAGGAGCAGTGAGAGCCTGGGGCTGCACACATAGGCGCTGATACATAGAGATGAGATTCATTGAAGTCAGTAAGTTTTAGCGCGTCGAGTTTAACAATTTAGGTACTCATTTTAAGCACTCTGACGTCAATTTGGAAGATCTCTTCCCTCAACTTCGCTGCAATCGTTAATGTTGCTGGGTGTTAATCAACACGCGTTGTCGCGCGAAGCACTTCAGCATACAAACGGTAATGCTTATGCTTGAATCTGCTGTTCGTTCACTTGCTCGCTACGTGTTAACGCTTGTCCTCTCCAGTTAGCGAATAAAGGCCTTTTTTAATCATTGCTAGTTTAAGTTCAGATTTTTTACTGTGAAAGGACTTCCTCTTCAGTAAATCTGTAGTGACACCATATCTAAATTTCACCTGGTCAAGACCAATGCATCTAAGTTCAGAGCATGGTTCACGTTTACTTTGAGTTGTAATAGCAGCGGATTAAATTTAAGACTTTCGCAAACTAGCATTTACTCCATCGAAGTCAAATGTTCAGCGAACTCGAAGTGATTAATGGATACGGGGCTTCGTGAACAGAAGCATTGTGTTGACAAAAATGAAATAATAATTTTTTTTTGATCTTGAGCACAGTGTTACAGGTAAGAATTCTTGTGGAATAGTTGAATTGCTTTCTTTAAACAAGTGACCAAATTAAAATTCCCGATAGAAAACACCTGGAACTGCACCATTTTAAAAGGAATTTTGTAAAACCTGATTTAAAGTAGGAGGCTGACAGATTACGGGCATGTCAATTAGTTGAAGAACTGCTGTGTGTTCAACTCTCTTACTAAACAACGAAGCCTCCCCATTCTGCTCATATCTATCTAGTACATCTGAAGCCTAGAGGGACTGTCCGAGTTTATCAACCCAATTCTATCTCAGGTACAAAAAGCTTCGACCAGTACTTACAGAGGCTCGATTCGAAGCTCAACCTTTTCATTTAATTATTAGCTGGAGCCAAGCGATATTCCGTAAAATAGTATGAATTGGCTTGTTGTCTTTTCAAAAGGCAAAACAAATTGGGTTGTTACTAATGGTTATGCGAATTTAAAGAATGCGAAGTGATAGTGCGAGGGTACAAGACCCTTGACGACTAAAATTTAAGCGATCGTGTGCTGAATGCGACAAATGCACCAAGGTACTGTTGAGGACGTGTAGTCCATAAACATTAAAGTAGGTAGGATCTCACATACTTTAACCGGTTAAAAACACGAACTCTTGCATTGACTTAATTTCCGCATAACGAAGAGGGTGAACTTCGTAGGTTAATAGCTTGTAAATAACCATCCACACTGGTGAGGGTCAAAGTTGAAACATGGCTTTCTGGAGAACAGTTGCATGCAATCAATATAGTTGTGTCGATTAAGGTTGGAATAGTTGCTAGTAGTGAAATAACATTTAACCGTCGGATTAACTTTTAGAGCCCATGCTAAATACGTTTTAGAAGCGCTTATGCACAGTCGTCTTGATAACGTCTACGTTCTGACTGCACAGAAGTTTCCCCGTTAATTAAGACCTGCCTCTCACTTCTGAACCAATGGTTTCACGAGGACAACAGAGAAATGGGTGAGACTTGTGCTTTTCGGCAAGCGGATTGGGTCGAGCTCGCAAGAACGCGAACCGGCCGAGCATGCGGACAGTGCAGGAAGGAGCGAGAGAGAGTGCGTGTGTGTGTGTGTGCGAGGGGGAGGGAGGGAGGGACAAAGACTCTCCCACGTTGCAGGGGCAGGAGGAGGGGCAGTGAGAAGGGGTCAAGGGCGCATAACATCCGGCCGAAAGCGAAAGGCTTGAGAGTCAAACGATAAATAGAAAAAATACACAATTAAAGAAATTTGCCGGTAGTGCCTAGGCGGTGGGCGAGGTTCACGAGTTTGCGAGCTGCAAACACACGTTACTTCCGGGTTTGCACTAGGGTTTCAATTGGGCCGACTTTACTGCTTATCCATTTGGTCGCCGTGAACAATCCTGTGATAGCCTTCTGTAGAAATAGTGTCAAATTCCGAGCCTTCTAGGTCTTGAAGGTAAAGAAGGCGTGCAACACCTACAACAGTAAAAGGCATATTAGAAGTAAACCAGGTGCTGGATGCCACGGCGGTGTTATTAGTTCTCTACTTAATTAATCACAGTAGGATATCGAGTGCAGGCTTGGATGGGGCGGGTTACGTGCACTCGATAGGCAAAGGAAGACGGTATTTACTGGGTCTTAAATGAGACATTAAAAAAAAATTGGAGTTTTTAATCATTTATTAGGTGATTGCCTAGGGGATATCTCTAATTTTTATGACATCACGACACTGAAGGTAACCAGAATTGGGAGATTCTAAAGTAGGCTGTCTACTATTAGTTACCGCTCAAAAACATTCACAAAATGGAAAAACAATGCTGCTATGCACACTCGTGAACCAAGGTGTGATCGCATGTAAGTCTCCCTTCCACGCAAAATTGAGCTTTGATCACAGTTATCTCCAATTTAAAACAATTGAACAGTTTACACAAATTTTCCTTTTGCTATGCATGTCTTATGCCATACTTCTCACTTAAAGTACCTGAGTTAATACCATTTATAGGCCTTTCCAATGAATCGAACTTTTTTTGAAATTCTATTTTGCAATTTCTGTACATTCCCTGGCGACATTTTAACGCCTTTACCTTCCACAAAGACTCGGTTTCTTTATTTAATTTAGGGAAAATTGCTTTAAGAAAAAAAGCACTTTCCAGATGCATAGTTTTGCTTCCTTCGAGGTTTGAAAAGGCTCATCAACTTTGTGCTGGCAGCCTCTGATCGTTTTGGAGGAAGTTGCACCGAGTATGTGCCAAGGCTTTCTAAAAAGCACAGAAAAAAACACATTTATCTCAAAGACGGCAGAGATTAGGTGTGTTCACGATACGCTAGGAGTATATATATGTGTGTAGTTGAATGTTTGCGAGTTTGGCTTGGTGCATTCATCGGAATTTCAAAAATGAGGGAAACACAAGTGCTGATCCGAAGAAGTCCATTTTCAAAATGCTCAATGACGAGGGTCTTTGTGGCATAGCAAAAGAAGTACCTACTCCAGAATGCATGAACATGCAGTAGGAGTAAATATCCAAAACTATGTAGGTGATGATAAGCGAAGACAATGAATCTTTAAAAAACGTGATTTGGAATGATGGAATAGAGAAGCGATCTAGGTGTTCAGCACGGGTGGAGGGTAGAGGGAAGTATTGGAAAACCTGCTACCTGCAACATTGGCGGCCGGCGCAGCATAGCGTACGACAGTGTCCGTGGCGATTTCGTGTTCAGGTTGTCCTAGAACCGCCGTTGACGTTCCCACACTCTCAAACAAACTGTCCGACGCACCTCCGGGGCCCGCAGACCTCCGATCTGGGGGCGCGGAGGCCGAGGTCGATCGGCCAGTGGCGGCGGCGACCGCGACTGCCGATGCGACTGCTGCTGCTGTCGACGGGTCAACGCTTGCGTCCGAGGACTCCACCGAAGCTGCGGTTAGTCCAGCAACAACACCAGCGAGCGCGGAGCTCGGCCCAAGGAGGCCATACCCACTACTCCACGGTGAACTGCCGACTCCTGTAGACAGGGAACGGGGGGCCGACTTTCGACGAAAGCCACTGAGGGCCCCGCTCAGTCGGCTAGGCTGGTGCTGTCGACTGGTCAAAGCGGCGTTCGAATCCGCCAGTCGAAGGTTCTCAAAGGCAGGCTCAAAGAGACGGGAACCACGGGTGGACGTGGAACGCTGCAGGCGACTTTCGTGCTGCATCCCACTCTCAGCTACGGACAGAGCAGGAAGTTAGAAAAAAACGGGTTCTCCTTCTCTTTTGGATTTCATTAGTCAGATATGCGAACTCGTGGGTAGATTATTTGAATTCATCTTAATGTACGTAGACATGGCTCCCTACCTTTGCAAAGCAGTAAAATTTGAAACAGTGGCAGGGTACAATGCATAGACGGCTGAAATACATTCAAGAGAATGAGAAATATTAAACATGCGGCTTATTCGATTGCCACAGTGGACAAGAGTTACAATGGTTAACGTAGTAATGGTCTTTAAAGGATGTGTGAGCAAAACCAACTATCTCATCTCCTATCTAAAATTTAAGAATTGACCATTAGACGGTTGTTCGAGTGTGACTAAGGAAGGCCAGAAAACAAACCCTGTTTGTGGTTCAGGGTGGGTTTATCAGTAATCAATAAAGGAACTCACTGAGAGGCGTAGGCGTAGAATCCTTATTCCCCTCCAGCTGTAAATATAAAAGACATCCGCGTGTGATCATAATTCACGATATCTTTTGGGCCGAGTCAGGCTAAGGAGGCACTCCAGTCGTCGGCATGCAAAACACGCTTATACGGACATTCTGAACATTAAATCACGGGCACCTGCCGACTTCTGAAACAGACGACATGGATTTTAACAAATCCGAACAATGAATCCCCCTTTTTTGTGGGACATTAAACTCTTTAATTCTTTAGGTTTAAACCAGTCGTGGGTTTTAAGCAGTAAGTCAGATCTATATTACTACTTCAAACGTCTGAAGACATATTTCAGAAAGCGCTCCCTCCTGAGCACTACAAATCGTGGTCCCATCGGGAATTGGGGGTCTTCCCAAGAGGGCAAAATAGCGCACCCTCCGGAAGTGGAATCAAATTCTCCGACAGGCCACGAAAATAGGACAATCTCCAAACACTGCCAAGCTCCATTTGCTAAAGTCAGCATCGCTTCTAGTGCCTGCAGAATGCCACCCGCTGGAGTAGGTAAAAGGCTAATTTAGTTGCGTTACCAATAACTCTAGTGCCTTTTTTGCATAAATACGCACGACTTGCACAACCTGGCCAGGAAAAAACGGGTGCATGAGCTCATGTGGAGAAGGCTAATTCACTTGTAATACCACACTCGTATTAACCTCATGAATTTTCGTTGTATGGTAAGGAATTTCTGTTTGCAGACAGAGCGCAAAATTTAGCAGTGCCTGCTGCCACCTATTTTTAACCTGTCTGCATTTTTTGCATAATTGGAATTGTTTGAACAGCCACAAAATTACAAATTTGCCGACAAATAGGGATGTAAGTACGTGGAATCCCAGTCTCCTATGCACTATTGGGCTCAAACCTCTTTCTCATACCTTCAGTACGGGCTAAGCTTGCTGGAATGACGACCAATTAATAATACCTCAACAGATGCTTCAGATTTTGAACAAAATCAGCTCGCAAAATTCTTCTACTGCTTATTACGTAGCGTGTAGGATGAGAGTTTTGTAAGTGCGTTTCGACATTTCTGTTCGCTTACAGATTCTCTCTAAACAGCGGCCGTGCTCCTATTTTCTTTTAAATACTTTCTTGTGCTACATCAGTATAAGACATGTGTGTGTGTGTATGTGTGTGCATGGAACACAGCCTGCGTTTCTCAACAATTGCGCGTAACATACGCATCCTTCTTATCCGAACACGTAAAGTTGCAAGTACTTTAGTAAGATTGATACAAAGTAATTAATCCTGACCACAAATGCATGCATATTGTGTAGAGAAAGCAAATTACGATTTCTTTCGAATTTATAACTTCACACAGCCACAGAAAGTCGAACGTGCACCAACTAGTGGCATGAAACTGAGTTAGGATTGGAATGCACAAGCACGGCTTGGAAGTTATGAAACCAGCACTTTGGTTTACCGCACTGGAACTTTCATCTAACCTTCGTGCATTCTCTTACACATCTCGCCTGCATGCAATAAAGGATGTTAGACCAGAAACATAGAAATTATTATTTCAAAATGCGCGAGAACAGGAAACAATGTGACCGCACAACACGAGATTTTATTGGAAAGCGACCGTTACACCAATAAAATCTCGCCCACACTTCTGCATTCTGACTGGTTCAAGCAAATTTACATGCATCTCCAAATACGCATCTTGATTATCGAATACAAGAAAATACAGGCAGTAGCTACTTAAAGACATGCATGACTAGATGACTGAGACAATTGTTGTGGAAAATCATATGCATTTCTTGTAAGGCAGAGATCACAGCCAGTGATTCCACCGCCCACCACTTGGCTTTTACACTTAAGTGTCCTTGGACGATTACAGACGATGACATGCTCCCAAAAAAAAAAAAATCAGGCCGAGAGACACTGGGCTAGAACGTGACCCGATGACGCCACACTCCGCTGTCCGCGCACGCCTCCCCAAAACGCGCACGCCTCCCCAAAACGCGCACGCCCGTCTGCACGAGGCGCGCGCTGGTTGGTCGATCGCACGATGGGGTGGCGATGAAGAAGCCCTGATTCTGCATTTTGTTTCCGTACGCGCACACACACACGCACGCATGCACCTTTAATGGGGTCTGTTTTACATGCAAAGCAGAAAGTAGTAAGACCAACCTCCAACTCTCCGTTACCTTCCATCTTCTCTGAAAAGTAAGAAATTCTATAAATGAGAATAGTTGAGGGCTGCTGGTGGCACCTTCAAGGAGATCAGGTTCACTGAGGAAGTCAACTGAAGACCGCGGGGATGTACATTTAGGTCTTTGATAATCGTGGCCGTCATAAATTTCTAATAGTGTGGCAAATTACCAAAGACTTCTTTGACTACAAAACATATTTAATTGAGGGATACACGGTACACAGCGTGAAACAAAATTAGCATTTTTGGTAAAAATCATTCACAAAGTCTGGTGGCAGGAGTAAGCCTCATCGTGAAGAGCATGCGGACGAAAAGAGTGTGGGTTAGGAAAAACAAGCAGAAAAAGCATGACGAAATAGTGGTGTATAGAGGTGAAGGACTTCGTGCGTTCATGCCAAGGAGTTGTAATAAAAGTGCAGCACGATGGACCATCGACAGCTCTCGCCCACCGGCGAATAAGTGACCTTCCGATGGAACATACCTTGTCTACTCGCGTTGAATGTGACTGCCCTCCGAAGAAGGAAGGGATCTAGGTTACGAAAGGATCCAGGGTTTACTTAAACGAGCACAGCATCTACTCCGAATGTCGATTCGCCCCTTCTAATCATCTAGTATTCGTAATATCTGGAGTTCACGCTGACGATTGTGTAAATCGCTGCATTCCGAGATACTCACGACGACTAAGGGGCTCTGATTTTTTATTTGTGGAAAATCAAATGCGGATATGCTCAGACACCATTGTAACCGCTTTAGTCGCAAGTTGGACTTAAGTCGGAGACGTGAATTGGAAGAATGCAGAGGCACTAAGCAGAAATCAAGAGGCGATGCCAGTTCAAAGAAAAAGCAAATGCCACGAACACGTGCATCTACCGCAAAACTTAGTCGCAGTTTGATTCACTTCAAGACAGGAAGCAGGTAAAGCTGTTGCACAAAGGAGCAACGCAGGGGACATCAATTGAATTTTCGAATGTACCCTTTGAGCCTTGAGAGGACTGGTCGCCGCCACCACCACCCCGGGCGGCTGCTTGACTGAGAGAGGAGTCGGAGGAGGAAGTCGGGGACGTCAATGCCGTGGAGCTCAGCTTTGGAAGTGGCACAGGCGAACTTATGACCGAGCGTCCCTTGCACACCGAGAAGGGGTCATCCACTATTCGCTCCATAAAGTGGAACTATAAGTGTCAATGAGAATTAGCGAGGGACCCCAAAAGTCTCCCATCGACGCCATTTTATGCCCCGAAATATCCCTGTTCAATCCAAAACCATTGCATTGTTACTATCTATCACCACTGGGAATGAGGCATGCCGCTGACTAGTTGTAAAAGCATATTCCATATTAGTCTCCAGGCAGGAATTTGTGTGATTCAGCAGTGGATGGACATTTTGTTCAACAAAGGTTTTTCATTAATCAAGGGGTTTCTGGAATAAATTTCCGGACTAGAACTTGAAAAGGCCAGTGATGAACACAGGCAAGTTCAGTGCAATTGCGAGAGATGGCCTCGTTTGACTATTAGAGGCCGATCACTGGGAAAAACCCAGTGATGACGTCAAGCGTAAAAGACCAGAAAAACCCAAAAACATTAGGCGAGAGGTTATTCAAAGAACTCCGATAAATTTGTAGCCTTATTTCGTCAGTTTTGTCAGCTCCATTTCATGAACACACTTTACAACTCTTTCCTAACAGGAAATCATATTTAGAAAAGTCGACTTCTTTACAAGAGCATAAAATTCTACTCATATACAACAAACTACACGGCCTTAAGTTACCGTAAGAGCCAGCCACAAACAAACACCAGACTTGACGCCATATAAGGGGTCTTTTAACACTCTGAAATGAAGCTTCGGGATTTGGAGAGGCCTGAAACATTTAAAAAATACCACTTTTACGTGGTATAACCACTTCGTGAGAATCAACCCTTGTCCGATTGAACAGCAAAGAAAAATTAGATTTACGCAAGTGCCTTTATCACAATGCCATATCAAGCGGTCATTTTCTATATATCTCTTCCTCTCATGGAATGTATGGTAAGGGAAAAGCAAACGGGTTTAAAAATCACAGTTGAAAAGAGAAAGGCAGAACCCACGAGAACCCAAATGGATAAAAGACATTTCTACACATAGAAGACAACTAAATATAACAACGGTAAATTATGTAATGGCCTTCATAGTTAAATTTAAGGTGTGAGATAAAGGTCGGATTAAGTAACAAGAGGGAAGTGGAGTTTGAGGGTATTTAGCGTGAACGGAAGTCGCTAATGGCACTCTGAATTCACAAAGTTTTAATTTTGTGAATTCAGAATCAAATGCACAAGCAGCGGAGTTGACACGGTATCGGTTGCAGATGGGTTTATTACTGTGACTTTCAAGCTAGGCGGCAGATAACCGTTATCGTAGGGTCCTCTAGTTACGAATGGTGGTTGAGCTAGGTCCAGATACGGAGGTAAGCAATAGTATAAAATATGCCGCCTAAGAGCATACCTCAGCAGTGACTGTCGGTTTTCTTATTGCAAGAGAGGTAAAGCTGGTGGCAGGACTTGAACCATGCTCCCACTTCCCACCACCACCGACCCCAGCACTACCCACCAATCCGGTTGTTGAAGAATGCTGCTTCGAGTCCAGCGAGATGCAGCGCAGAAGTTCAGTTGAACATCCGCCCACAGAACTTGTGAGTAACTCCGGTAGGTAGATTTCAGCATAGCCACGCGAAATTGACTCTTAAGTGAAGTTTAATATTTAAAGGGGGAATGAGGCAACTGCGGAAAAACACCAAAAAGCACAACCATAAAAATGCAAATTATTGAGTGACTCGCACCCTTAAAGTAGTGAATGTAAGAGGGAGCACCACTGAAACACACGCACACTCATGGATGGGACTTTGATGAGATGGAACTCGGCTTTTCCAAATGTGTGATGCCATGTTTAATGATTTTACGAAGTTGCTAAAATGTTCACTTCCAGATAAAAGACTTAGCTTCCAGCCAAGTTGTTCAGTCACCTCACTTGAGAAATCTCCGTTTTGGATTTTTCGGAGGCACCATATAAACCACACTGGAAACCAGAACCCACAAAGAACCTCTTCAAGCCAAGCATTTAGTTTTCCTCTACGATCATTTATAGTATCAATTAATTTGCTGCGGTTGGTAGCCCAACAAGAAGCGAGATACGCCCTAATGCCTAAGAAAGTAGGAATACGATATAGAGCCTTATCGGATTTTTACTTATGGCATCAATGCCAGGCCTTACTTTTTCGTGAAGCCAAACATGCGCAATGAAAGGGCAGTTTGCGTTCAAGAACCCTGGTAACATACTTGAATACCGGATTGATCTATTCAGTGGGATGGATTGTCGTATTAAAGTAATAACGAATCATCACAATGTTTGCAAAAACTAAGCCACCAAACGAGACAGAGGAGCCAGGCACAAGACTCCCAGTCCATGACACCCACTCCTCTATTTTGCATTCCTAAACATTTCAGTGTGTCGCGGGAGCCCCGGAGCCTCAACTTCACGCTTCAGTCGTCGTGGCCAAGCGCTCTTCGGCCAACGACGATTTCGTGTCCACGCACTTGCGTAGACGCGAGATCGATACGAAGGGTGGGGCGCAGTAACCAATTAAGCGATTGCGTACGCGCACAACTGGGCTTGCAGATATGCGTGCCACGTCTTCGTGGGATGACACGAGAGCTACGCGAACGGCCCGCCGTGGAAGGTCGATACATTGCGAGGGAAACTACTGTGCGACTGGTCACATAATAAATCGGGGTTAACAGCGGTCACCTAAGGGCGGACAGACTTCCTGGTTGCGGACATTCGGAGTTTCTGGTTGAAACGACGTTTTTTCAGAAGCCAAACAATAATTTGGTTTTACGCAAAAGATTATTTTGAAAATCAACCAGTTAGGTGCCGCTAAATAAATGAAACAAATCGGTGTTTATGAGTTTTCAATGTCTAGAAATGCGTGAAATAACCATAACAATGTTGTTAACATCAGTAACTGTAAGCTATTGTAATATTTTTTTAAACGAAATGCACATAGTTGGCTGATTTACCTGTGATTTTTAATACACGAACGGTGCTCGTGACAGTCGAAAATAGTGTAGAACCTCGTTAACAATTTCCAAGACAAATGAGTAACTTAAAGAGAGACCTGGTGCATGAAATGAGAAAAAAACCTGTTACCTCCAGCAAACTTTTGAAAAAGTGAATGGGATGCTTAAGAAATGAAGGAAACTACGATACCCTGGATTTCCATTTAATAACAGGTGAAGTGAGGCTGGAGCAGGGCCATGTCATGAAAGCCAAAGAAATTACTTCAGAACCACAATAAGGGGGTATCAATTGTCATGGCATTTAGATGAGGTTAAAAAGGTTTTTACTCATACAACAGGTTACCATTGACCTAGAATCGTTAAGAAATGAAGAGGGAACAATTCGAGTCAAAGTAGATAGATGGATACCGAATCCACTAATTAACAGGAAACCAAAAATCAAGACTTGCATCGCTTCGCTTCCAGTGATATCTCATTAGAAAGCCCCAGCAACTTTGCGTGCGAATTCAAAGTCGACGTCTAAGACACACAATAATGATGATGGTAGTCTTCTGCTGACTTCATATTGGATCGTAGGCCATGGGTATAATAGGACAAAACGAGTGGACACATGGTAGATGGCCGACAGGTTTGGCTGGTATTTCATGATTTGTGTGTCCAGAGAAAGTGCCAAGGTCCTACACTAGTCCTTCATTCAACTCAGGGTTTAAAATAGATCAGTTTGTCCACAATCTAACTGAACGGCAATATGGCGTGAAGCATTTGAGATAACACTGTATTTTTACTTCGTAGCAGCCCTCTTACATCCAAAAGAACCAAATGTAATTTTTTTTTACAAAACAACGTAATCAAGGTAACTAATTGCTTAACCCAGTTACCAGTATTACGTTAAAAAGTGGGTCAATATAGAATATGAGGCAGTCTTTGACTTACTTCTTTTTTTTGACAGCTCGAATACCTCGAATGCAGCACGCTTTGAATTGCTGTTGAGTCCACTAAAATACACATAGCTTAAGTTAGCAGATCTGTGAACGAATTTGACAATTAAAAGAGAGGCCTAACATGTTTCTCGTGTAACTTCTGTCATTTTAGTTTAAATAAGAACTTTCATTGTTTGGGCGCCATCAAATCTACAAGCACAGAAGGCATGTTTTGGTACAAATGATGCATTCTTTTAAGTACTGACAACGAACTATAGCATAAATCATTCAAGTCATCAATAAAGCGAATCGCCATTTTAAAATGCAGAATGTATGTGGCTAGTTTCTATTTACTAAACAGAAAATTAAGAAAGCTGATCTTACTACTACGAAATGACAAACTACAGAGGGGGAATAAAAATAAAATTGGTCTTCAACTTATAACAAGTGATTACTCGAATAAATGTCACGAATTAGGCAAAAGAGCATTTATCCATGTTGTATCCAAAAAAATGAGAACTTACAACAACAAGTGTTGATCCCAAAAAAGTTGCTCTGAAGACGGCACAACATGCGTCGCGTGGCGTTGATATGGTTCATCCAGCTCAACAACACAGTAGGCATCGGAAGAGTCTGAGCAGCAGACAATTTTTCGAAATAAACTTGTCAAGCATTTAATATATGAGAATAAATAAGATTAACCTACTTCTTAGGTCAATGAAGTCAGCTTTGACAACCTTTACAAGTAGATTTTTTGATGCGAGGTTCGGAGCCACACGCTCATGAAGTGGAGAGATATCAGTGACCTTTTTCAAAGAACGTTGGCTAGTTTGTAACGCCAACTGCTTCTCTTCAGGCTGCTCTTCTTGTTGCAGTTCCCGTGATGGGTGAACTACTGGATCCAGGGGAACGGGTTTAAGACAGCTGTCTGTGTCGACTGAGGCATCATCTACTTGCTGTTCTTGAAAATCAGACGCAGATCGCTGGTGCAGTCGACGTCGAACTAAATTTCCACTGAGCTTCTTTTTTAAACTTGGATTGTGAGCAAGTACCACAGGCTCAGGCAGAACCTCAAACTTCTCGTCTGACTCACCATTATTTGACGAAACATTTGCGGTGTGGAGAAGGCCGTTTATCGGAATTGCGTTTAATCGAGGGGACTCTGGCAGGGGATGCACAGATTCAGTTACAACATTCGAGTCAAACACAAGAGGTAGTTTTGACGTCTGTTTTAACGTCTCTTTTAACGAGGAGTTTCCACTAACCGGAACGGAGGACAAGTGAGGATCATTGCTTTCCGTATGCTGGTTCTGTGCAAAAAATGAGCGTAGAAAGGCCTTAAATAAGCAAATTTACCAGGTCTGAATCTTTTTCATTGGAAAATTTAGAAATATCAACAGATCCTTGGCTTTCAAGCAGGGCTTCAGCATTTTCCCATATAAGAGATAAGTTGGAAATAATGTCATCAACAGTACATACCAAGTCCTGTTTGACAAGTTCAAACTACATTTTTAGATGTCAAAAAATACGTCGTTCTTACAAGATCAATAGGATCAATAGACAAGCTGAATTGAGGACGTGAAGAAAACGCCCTCAAAGTCACCAAATTAGTATTTCTGAAAGACATATTCAGCATGACCTTTAAACATAATTGCGTTAAATCAACTACCTCCAGTGAAAAATCGCTAAGTGAAAAGTTAATTTGAGAATGTTTGTCATTCTCATTCATTTCACCAGAAAATGAAAGACGAGCCGCCGCTATATGCACGAGTATGCTCTGAAAATGCAGTAATTCAAGAAAATTAGTTACCATAACGTTTTCTGATACTACTGGTGGGGATTTTTGAGAATATAGAATAGGGCTGGACAGATGAGGCAAGTACGAAAGTCTATTTACACCAGCCGGTACCTATAAGGGGGCCATTAAGGAATACACTCAGTACTTTAATTTTGTCATTGTAACAATTTAGGAATGCAACGCACAAATCCACTGCATTCAGATAAAACCTTTTGTTTTGAGAGATCCAGGAGTTTACGAGAATATGTGGATCTAAAACCACGTGAGCGCTGCCATTCTGAATCGCAGACAGCTGTCGATAATGGATACGGAGTAGGATATAAAGGGAAGTCCCAATGATGGACAGCAGAAGCAGAAAAGAAATCAATAATTTCTGAATTGAACAGTTAAGAAAACTGTCAACCAGGCCAGAAATATCCATTAGCTTGTATGTAGCAAGCTTCGTCAAAAAACTCTCCATGTTGCTCCCTGCATCTACGATTTCACGCTACATGGCCTAACACGAAAACCAATACGCAAGATTCGATGAGTCAAAATGCTGCTTTCCAAGATAAACATTAAAACACCAAGCAACCTAACACTAAAATTAATCATAAATTTGTTCTTTCGAAAATGATTTTTTATAATAAAAAATATAACCAAAGTTTCAACAAGGCGCAATATTAAAAGCTGTAACCTTCACACTTTGTCAAATTCATTTGCCATGTCTTCGGTGGCTGTTGTTGTTGGAACCCAATGGGGCGATGAAGGCAAAGGAAAATTAGTAGATATCCTCTCAATGAGCTGCAATGTAATTTGTCGATGTCAAGGTGGCAATAATGCAGGTTAGTTTTCAATACGCTGCTTTATTATTTAGGTCACACTGTCATTGTCGATGGGATAAATTATTTCTTCCATCTTGTTCCCAGTGGTATTCTCAGAACCGACTCTGTGTGCATCATAGGGAATGGAGTTGTTGTTAATCTTGTCGATCTATTTAAAGCATGTTATTTTTTACATAAACCGCCCCCTAGGAAATCGATACTCTCACTAAACAGGGTGTACCAGATATCGAAGGCCGGATGCGGATATCTGAAAACGCTCATATCGTTTTTGACGTTCATCGACGAGTCGACGAATTAGAGGAAGAGGCTAGGGGACAACATTTAATTGGCACCACCAAGCGTGGTATCGGTCCAACGTACGCTTCTAAAGCTTCGCGCAGAGGTTTGCGTGTTGGTGACCTTGTAGGCGATTGGAATACCTTTTGTGAGCACTATGAATTGCTTGTTAATTACTATCAATCGTATTTCCCAAACTTGGATATTGATATCAAAAGATCGCTGGAGGTACGTTCTCATTTCCATGGTATTTCTATCGACGAATGGGCGCATCACAGGCTTTTGCGCATTACAGGAACTCGCTGAGATTCGTGTACGTTTAAAGCCCATGGTTCAAAATACTACCTTTTTGGTAAATAAACTCGTAAAGGACAAATCAAATCGCCTTCTCGTTGAGTGCGCTCAGTCAACAATGCTCGACATCGACTTCGGCACCTATCCCTACGTCACTGCGTCAAATTGCTCTGTCGGTGGTGCGTGCACTGGACTTGGACTGCCGCCGTCTTCTATTGGCGATGTTTATGGAGTCGCCAAAGGTATTGCAATCGATCTAACTGATTTCTTTCCTAAATACTTGAATATCTTCCGTGCTGTTATGCTACTTTTTAATTGGTTATGTACTCCAGCTTTCATGCATCTCAAGACGCCTTTTCATTGTTAGTTTACACAACACGAGTCGGATCCGGACTTTTCCCCACAGAAATAACTGGGGAATTGGCCGCGAAACTCCAGTCGATTGGTCGGGAATTTGGCGTTACTACAGGCAGGAAGCGACGTGTTGGGTGGTTTGATGCGGTTGTTTTGCGCTACTCTCACATGATCAACAACTTCACAGCAATTGCGCTCACAAAATTAGATGTCCTGGACGATTTTGACGAGGTGAGTTTTGTTGCTGGCACAACATGCGCCAATAAACGCCTGATGTCTCATTGTGCCTTTTTGTTAGATCAAAATTGGCAAGGACTATGTGGATCCGGAAACGGGTGAAATTCTGCAGTGTTTCCCATCTG